ATTTAGGAAAGTTTCCTATCATTTTGAATCTAGGTCTTAGGGGTGTGTCAATCTATGGCCCCACAGACCAGCTTCACAAGGGAAAAAACTTTTGGATCTTATTCTGCAAGATATGCTGGCCATACCTGACAGTGGATAATTTCAGCAATAGTTTAATTTCAGCTTGGTCCTGTTAGAAAGGGAAAATTTTCTTCTGAGAACAGGGTATCAAGTAGTTGACACACAGTTGTTCATTTTCCCTGTTAGATGATGATCAAAGGTACAATTATACATGGAGCCATGGTACTACCTAATGGCTTAACAGTACAGTCAAGGAATTAGAAACACTGTTAGAAATTGATAACAGAAGCTTGCCGCCCAGTGTAAGCCTATAAACCCAGCTACTGGGACACAGAGGTAGGAGGATCGAGGTTCAGCTGGCCCAGGGAAAAGTGCCAGACCTGATCTGAAAAATCAAACTAAAGAGCTTGGGGCCTAGCAAGCATGAGGCCCTGGGTTCAATCCTCAGTACTGCCAAAAGGAACAAAGAAAAAGAAAATTTCTGATGTCTGAATAGGTTTGTATAAATGAGCACAGTATGAAGGATATTCATGCTCCATATAAATGCTTGCAACAGGATACTTACCACAGTATTATCTGAAGATGAGGTAAACAAGGTGACTCATTCTTATAGCTATCAGTTTCTTTCCCAGCCATCCTGTGCTTTCACAATGGCTCCTTGATAGAGTGACCATGGTAGCAGGGATGGATATTATGTACAAGTTTTATAATATGGACTTCAGCTCATCAAAGCTAGTCTGTACATCCATTTGGCACTATTTCCTGGCAGAAAGGAGAGATCATTCAGCCATCAGTTGACTCCACTGCACCATTTCCATCATAGAAAAGGTGGACCTTTGCTCTTACTTGCACACATACTTATTGTTAAAATTACCTTCTTTCAACACCCATGCACAGGAAAGCAATGCAAGTCAACTCCCTGTATAGCTATCCTTATCTCAACTAGCAAAAATCCTGGTCCTTCCTATTATTGCTTATACACTCTCTTCAACAAAATTAGAGATAAGGGCAAAATAGTTTCTGCCTGGTAGTGAGGCGGTAGGCGGGAGAGGGAGGGGGCTGGAGGGTAAGGGAATGGGCGGGGGCAAGGGGGGAGAAATGACCCAAACATTGTATGCACATATAAATAAAAGAAAAAAAATACCTTCTTTCTTACATAAATCTGTGAATACTGTCATCCATAAGCTTAAAAAATGCCTTGTTCAGCATTATGGCATAGCACTTATCTCTTGTTTTAATCAAGAAATCCATTGTGTAGCAAATGAATTACAGAAATAGTCTCATTCCATGGGAGTCACTGGCCTCATGTTTCTCACTACTGATAGGATGATTTAATGTCTTCTAAAGGGTTAGTTATAGCAACAGCTGTCTAACACAATCTTGCAAAACTGAAGTAATGTCTTCCAGGATGAATAAACTCTAAATTAAGAAAACTGTCCAATTTTCCCACAACCAGTATTTATAGAATAAATATAATCACTTTTTGGAAGTCAAAAAGTGATTATAGGAGTAGCTCTTCCCACTATTACTTCTAGTGATCTACCAGCAAAATATTTTCTGTTCCCAGGACTTTAAGCTTTATTGGTCTAGAGGTCTTATACTTCTATCAGGAACCACAGAAATGGTGCCTTCAAGTTGGGAGCTGAGAGTGCCACCCTGAGAGGGCTTTGTGTTCTCTTTTAGGAAGACAGCTAGTATGAGTTTAGTCTTATGAACGCAAGCTGCATCATTTTAGATGGAAGTCTGCTTCACTACTGGTTTCATATCAATGTAAATTGGTACAAGGTGAATTACAGTACCATTCTAAGTATTAACTTATATAAGTTCACACTACTTTTTCTAGTTGTATTATCCTGCATTACCACAACAAAATACATGAGGCAGCTAACTATAAAGAGAAAAATTTTATTTAGCACTTTTATAAATCCAAGGTCATGCAGCTCCATTGGTTTGGTCTCTGTTACGAGGGAGGCAGCAGGTGGCAGCACATAAGGGCAGGAGTGAGTGTGTGTAGAAGAGCTACATCACCAGACTGGAAATCCAAGAGACTGGTGTCCCAAAATTACTCCCAGTGACCTAAGGACCTCCCACTAAGCCCCACATTCTAAAGGTTCCACCAATGCCAACAGTGAAAAATGACATGAAACGGGGAACAAGGAAATGAAACAACAATCATTTTAATCTCTGAAGGTTGGCATACAACACTGATCACTATGGCAGCTTCTATAATTTATTGCTGATCATCTGGCTTGCTTTATTGACAAGAAACAGTAGCTAGGCCAATAACTATTCAAACCACAGCAGTTCTTTTCTTTCAGCTTTTCTGAATACTACTCCAGGTGAATGTGCAGCCCCACAATAAAGAGCACCAACTTCTGTAGGTCATCCAACTTATCATAGAAATGGTGACAAACATGTACAAGTTCCAATTTGTATTCATAATTTCAGTGCACTCTTCTCAATTCCAGTTGGTCCTAGTACTCCCCTACTTCCCATGTAGCTTTTCTCCATTAATGAGAACTTGTTTCATACCAAAGACAGAAGCAATAGTCTTGTAAAGGCTTCTCTACCACCTATCATAATTACAAATGCATTATAATTCCTTTAATTAATCCTATATTCTAAACTACTCATACTGGTTTTCTCTCTGATTAAACCCTGACTGATCCAATCTTATGCAGAATATAAAAAAAATCTACAAATGAGTAAGACAAACAACCAAAAAGAAATATGGCACAAAAAACAAATAGAAAAGTCACACACTAAGAAAAAACAAAAAGCTAACGCATCATGTCCAACCTCATTAGTAATCAGAAAAACAGAAATTAAAACATGAGCTACTCTTTGATTCTCATCAAAGGAGCAAATATTAAATTTTTTGACAATTCTATCCACCTTGGAGAATGAATATGAAATACTGGCAAAGCTTAAATGGGTATGCCTTAAACCTACCAAGTCTGCATCTAGTAACAATCCTAGAGAAACTTCTAAATACCCTAAATTCTAAAAATTCTACAAAATGGGAGGGAAGCACTTGTAACATCCTTTTATAAAGAATAATGATACCACTATGTATTTAAGCTTGAGAAACAAACACTCTGATGTTTGTCATTCAGTAGTTGGGGGAGGAGGTCTCCATTGCCAACTGTAGTAGGTACTCTCTAAGGTAGACCCCAATGGTTTCTGCCATCAGATAATCATTCCCTTGCATAATTCTCTCATTCTAGCTATATGCTTACTGTAGTAAAGGTGAGAGAATATCACTTGTAAGATTAAGCACCAAAGAGTGTGGCTTCCATTTTGAAAACCCTCTCTTAATGCTACAGGATGCAAGTTATTGCTACTGTATTATGAGTTTACCTATGGAGAAACCTGCATAACAAAGATCTGATATATTCAGCCACATTCAACAAGTTCCTGAGGCTAGACAACAACCAGAAGCGTGGCTCCTCCAGCAGTTGTTTCTCAAGATGACTGTACTCTGAATGACATGGTACAAACATGAGCTCCTACTCAAGGAGACTGTCAGATAAGACATGCTCAGATAAGTTCCTGACCCACTGTGAGTTAATAAATGTTTTAAATGACTAAGTTTTAGGGTAATTTTTAAGATGACATGAAATAACTAATATGTTCTTCAATAATCCTGCAACTCACAGTGGTAAGCAAGTTCATATTTTCAGATTAATAAGAAGTCTGAATTAACTAAGGTTACCCATTAATTTGTTAACTCAACTTATTTAAAAGCTTAATCTGCCAGGTCCTGTTCTATGATGTTATAGGGTTTCATACACCAACAATAAACAAATAAGTAAGTAAAATATATATTGAATGTCAGATAATAATAGCAACTCTAGAAAAAAATAAGGCAAGGAAGCAGGATAGAGAAAGTGAGGTCAAAACAGAGGTTGTAGACTTTAAGAAGATAGTCAAGGACCTTCTTTAAAAAAAGATGACAGATGATGTGCATGGAAGCAATGCTAGGAATCTTTCTGTATAGCTATCCTTATCTCAAACTAGCAAAAACGCTATGTTTTTCTGATTATCTCTTATGTTTTCTCTTCAACAAAATTGGAGAAGAAGGCAGAATATGTTCTGCCTGGAAGTGATGGGGGTGGGAGGGTAAAGGAGGGCGTGGGAGGAAGGGGGGAGAAATGGCATAAACAGTGTATGCACATATGAATAAAAAAAAAGATGACATGTGGATAAAACCCAGAATGGTGTGAGGGAAAATCAGGAAAAGTATATTCCATGCTCAAGAAAGAAATAATAGAAACATCACGACATAGAAAGAAACTGAACAGTGTAGATTTTAGGTATTTGGACCTTTTTAAAGAACTTTATAGCTTTAACTCTGGGGAGAAATGGGGAGTAACTCCTTTTTGAAGAAATGAGTGACTTCATGAGCTATATTTTAAAATGATCACTCTGTTGTGCTAAGAAAAAGGTAGTGAATGGGGTGGGACCAGAAGTGGGGGATTGGTTCAGGGGGATTCTGGAGCAAGTACAGAAACAAGGAGACCAGCTAGAAAGCTTTTATAAATGAGACTATGGTGATGAAAACCAGGGTGAGAAAGATGAAGCTATGAAAATGGTCAACTTCTGAAAACAGCTGAAAGGAATATTCAGTAGGAATTCAATAAAATTAATTTGTAAGGTGCATGTGTGTATATATAGCCACTGAAGGATACAGAAGATAAGTCATTAAACCAGAAGAATACATGCTTTATTAATTTTACCTTCAAATATATTATTCTCAATCCCATGCAATCTATACCCATTGTTACCACATTGCCTTCACACTAAAATGACTATTCTCAATGAATTTTGGAAGAGTTCAATGAATTTTGTTTCTCCAATTATGTTATATTTTAATGAGCAAGAAAGCTTACATGACAAGTTGGTTTTGAAACCACTCTATATTATAATAACTGTGGTAATTAATTTTCTTTCCACTCTTTTGGGGTAACTCTGCCAACAGGAGATAGGTTCCATTCTATTCCCATTTGTGTGGATAAAATCACCCATGCAACAGCACAGAAAGCGGTTCCACCTGCTAGCACAGCAATGCCATATTTATCATGAAAATCCGGTAAGCGTTTATCATGGTTCTGTCTCGCCATAACTTGCTGAATACTTCGAATCTTGAGAATACTTTGTGTGTATCTGGCCAAGTGAAACATCATGAAGTTCTGATAGAACTGCAGTTGATTGCAGATACTGGTCAAATTTGTTGCAAAGAGACCTGGGAAAACACATAAAAAATGGACAATAAAGTCTGATCTGCATCTAGTTTCTCCCTCTTTGAATGCTTCACTTATATATACCTCCTCTTGGAGCAGTGGACAGGCATGTGAATTTTGATATCATGATGTCTAGTAAGCTATATGAACTAAGGCAGCTATTTAACCCTTTTTGTCTTCACTTCCTCAGTCAAACTGAGATAATAATGTCTAACATCTAGGACTGCGGTGAAGATGACATGTGTAATCCAAAACAAAGCAACAACAAAGTAAACACACGATACATATTACTTTTTCTACCCATCACATTTGCTCTGTAGGTAGACTTCAAAATTAGCTATTTAAAATTATTCTCAACTTGCCCAACTAGTCTAATGGCATACCTATTATCTACTTTAAACTTCATTTTTAGGTAGAATTATAAGGCAATCACAAATTGTCACACCTCGTCATTTCTCTCCTCCTTTTCTCTCTCCTATTCAACCCCCTTCTCTTCCTTTCTTCTCCTTCTCTACTTACAACACATACCCTCTTTCTTCATATAAAATTCTACTTGCTTTTAATTCTCACCTTTAAAATTATGTTTTCTCTTCTACAAAATCGGAGAACAAGAAGGTGGAATAGATTCTGCCCAAGGAAGGTAGGGGAAGTTGGCACTGGTGGCGGGGTGAGAGGGTGGGGAAAGGGCTAGGAGGGCAAATATGGTGCAAATAATGTATACGCATGTATGTAAATGCAAAAATGATACATGTTGAAACTTTCCCAGGAATTAGGGGAGGGGGGATGAAAGAGAGCAGTGGAGGGGATGAATTCAAGTATGATATATTTGATACATTGTAAAAAGCCTTTATAAATGCTACAACGTACCCCCACCCCCACCCAGGGCAACAATAAAAAAATTTAAAAAAATAAATAAAATCACCACTTTTGTGAAGTCTTTCCAAATTGACTTAGGCCAAATAAGCTCCCTCTTCTCTGGGCTACCACACCTTTTATAATCTTTCTTTCATAACACTTAATATGAGGCATTATCTTTTTTATAGCTCTTACTATTTAAAGCAGTTTTATTTTACAGCAAAATGAACAGAAAGTATTTAGACTTCCCAAATTCCCTCTGCTGACTCCAAACACTCATAGCTCTCAGCTATGAAGAGCTTTCACCAGAATGGGACAATTGTTACAACTGATGAGCCTACACTGATACACCATTATCAGACAAATTTATAGTTTACATCATAGTTTGCTCTTGAAGTTGTATACTCCATTTATTTTTCTTGAAGTACAGTGGTTTGAACTCAGGACTTTGTGTTTGCTTGACAGGCACTCTACCTCTTGTGCCATTCCCAAGCTTACTCCATGGGTTTTGACAAATATATAATGACTGTATTCACTATTACTGTATCATACAGAAGAGTTTCAACTGCTCTAAAAGCTTTGCTTGCTCTGCCTATTCATCCTTTGTTGTTTACTAACTCTAGACAACCACTTACCTCTTTACTGACACCATAGTTGTGCCCTTTTCTAGAATGTTGAAATCATACAGTTGTATCCTTTTCAGATTGGTTTCTTTCACTTAGTGATAACCATTTCAAGTTTCTTTCATGTATTTTCAGGACACGATAGTCCATTTGTTTTCAGCACTGAATAATGTTCTATGGTCTGGATGTACCAGTTTACTTATTCATTCTCTTACTGAAGAATGTATTGGTTGCTCCTAAGATTTGGCAATTATGACTAACAATGATACAAACATCTGTGTGCAGATTTTCACCCAGATGAAAATCTAAGTCAAGATCATATGGTAACAATATGTTTAGTTTTGTGAGATACTGCCTAACTGCCTTCCAAATCAGTCATACCATTTTGCATTCCCACTAGCAATGAATAAGAAAGTTTCCGTTGTTCCACAGTCTTATCAGCACTTGGCATAAGGGTAAATGTTCTGAATTTTAACTATTCCAATAGGAGTATAGGTTGTTTAATTTGGAGGTCCATAATTTGCATCTGATGGATGTTGAGCATCTTTTCATATGCTTCTTTATCATCTGTATATCCTCTTTGTTGAGATGCCTGCTTCAAATTTTTTACCCATTTTTATCAGGTGATTCATTTTCTTATTGCTGGGTTTTAAAGGGTTCTCTGTATATTTTCAATAAAAGCACTATATCATACACATCTTTTATAAATATTTGCTCCTAGCCTATAGCTTATCTTGTCATTCTCTCAAGGAATTATCTTTTTATTATTCTCCAATATATTGCAGGTCTCTAAAAGTGAGGGTTAGAAATTTTCATAAGGTAGACTGACACAGAAGTATAGAAAGAACTTTTTGAACCAATCCAAAATATCAATGAACATCGGTATCATCTTAAGAAGCTTAAATGAACGTGAAGAATAAGTCAAAAATAATAAAATCACATGTGCATTTCATAATAGCTCTAATGGTTTTAGTTCTTAAAACAGATAGTTATAAGAAACAAGAAATCTAGAAGCAGAAACATAATGAAGTATTCTGCTGATTTCTTTTCCTCTGTGTAAGCTGTCAAACAGTACCCAACCTTTAGCAATGACATTTGTTAGCTGTCACCCAAATGTAGGCAACACAGATACAAAAAAGGCCTGAGGTCGGTGCTTATAAACTTATGACTGTTCATTGAGATTTGCCACTCAAAGAACTTTAGTCCCAACTTAGAAAATAAGACCTTAAGGTTCTCTTTTATTTCCTACCATATGGTAAGAGGTACTCTTCATGATTGTGGCAAACAGGGCAAATGCTGATCCAAATTAATTTCTTCTGAAGTTCCAAATAGGCAAAATTGTTTCCTATTGTCATGAATCTCTACATCAAAAGCTACCAAAGTTTTCATTTGAGTTGAATTCAGAATATGCTGAAGGTGAAATGGGTTGGGTGTGTGACAGGTACAGCCTTAATCCAATGCAAAAGAGACACGTTGCTTTTAGTCCTTAGAAAGGCACATAATCAAAATATAACTTGTGACAACTGGGATTTCTAATGGGGGCATGCTGCTTCACAACAAATTGGTTGCAGTACTCTCGTCCTCACAATGTGAAGCTGAAACTCAGATACTTTGCCTCTAGTAACATTGATTGCACCCCTTAGTTACTTAGTCCATCCTTTGATTATGCATACTATTCACATATCTAAGAAGCTTTTCCATCTACCATAAACTTTCTAATAATTAATGTCTATAATTAAGAGTTTTCCTATAGGAACTCTTTCTGCAGTATGTAGTTAATATTTTATCTGGTAATTATATATTACAGTCTTACCATTCCTATCTTTTTCCTTGCTGGCACCAGCTATGTCTATCTTACTTGTTTTCACATCTATTTTATATCTCTCTTTGCTTGCAAAGCACATGAAAAATCTAAGAATCCATTGATTAGAGGAATTTTCCATATTATTTAACTCACATGACATTATTTCTACAATAAATTTTGTTTGATAAATTAATCCTAAATTTAGTATCCAAATAACTAAAACAATAGGTTTAATATCCACATGAAAGCATAAAAAAGGAAAAATTCAATAATATAATGCAGATAAAGAGAATGCTTCTCAAAGTAGATATTTTCTGATGAAAACAGACTACAAAGAGATTGAAGAAGACAGATATCTCTAGGTAATAAGAAAAAAGTAAATGTTCTCTCATGCTTGTGGCAATAAAATAAAAGAAGTATGTTCTGAATAAATATAAATAGAGGGATGAAGTGACCTATGACAATAGAAAGGAAAGATTGATTGTGTCATCTATTTTATACAGTGATGTTGAAGTTCAGTTCAGGAAGAAATAACTAAGACTGGACCTCAGTTTAATTATAGTAAGAAAGTATAGAGATTCACACTTAACCGGTAACAATAATAATTTCAGATCAGTAACAGCCATAAAAACAGATGACTAAATAGTAAACTATAATGAACCATTTTCAATGAAAGGGTCAACTCTGGTAATCACACTGGATTTTTGTTCATTGGTTGTCTTGGTTGGTTGAATGTACTTTAAGAAGATATAGTATAGTTGAAAAGTCTTTTTGATTTAAAATCAGAGATCTTGCATTCATATCCTACCCTGTGTATAAAGTGGGGTAATCACCCTCTATGCCACCATATCTGTAGGTATACAAAATCCTTGCACAGTGTCTCTGCACACAGGTATTTACTCAATAAGTGTTATCTTCTTTCCTACATTATTGCAGGTCAATGGTTCCTATTATTCAAAATAGTTCTCAAACTTATAACCTTCCTTGTGATTGTGAATTAATGAAAAATTTTAATTTGGTAGTTTTAGTTCATGATAATATAAAAATATAAGATAATGATAGGAGATGCGGACAATGTTGTTTATCAACTTCTACTGCCTTTGTTTATCTGTTTTGCATTTTGGTTTCACTTCTGTGTAACAATTATCTTTCCTGGGCTAAATCAAAATAATGTATGCAGCTCCTATATTTAAATAATGTGCTCATGTTAGCTACAAAATTTTAAAAATGGAAGAATTGAGTCATACCAAAACTTACTATATAGCACAGACATGAAAATATGGGAAATATATGCAGGTTAGAGTTTCAGGACAATATCAACTCTCATGATGAGCTAATATGGCAAATTTAAGATTTCCTTGTTTATAGTTCAGTTTATTTGAAACTATGTTGTGGTGTTATAGTTTCATTAAGCTTTAAACATAAAGAGGATTTTGTTTCATTTCACTTTACTTATGTAAAGTGATTTTATAATAAAACAATTTAATATGATTTAAGTAATATGCAAAAAATCTTTTTATCCTTTAAAAAGATTCTATATACAACCCAAGTTTGAGAAATATTGCTGCAGATGAGAAGAAAGTATTAATTAGTTTAATCAGAAAAAAATGTTGGGGTGGAGAAAAATCTGAGGGTGAAAATAATATTTCATAGGGCTGGAA